GCTCCTCTGTTCTCTGTAGTTCAACAAGAAAACTTTGGTGAATTTCTATCAGGTGACTGTTGGTCACATCAGAGTCCATCGTGGCTTCACAGTTGTGTTAAGAAACCCAGAATTATTTGTTTTTTACAGAATCTGTTTCACACAATCGCTTTATTTTTGGTGATTTTATTTTTTTTTTTTTTAAATGAGACGTGTTCAGATTAAATTTGTGATTCATCCTCCTGACCAGTCACACATGATGCGTTCAGGGACTGTGGGAAACTTTGTGTTTTCACAGTTTCTGGCTGATAAATGTTAAATAAATGATCAATAAAACAGCCTTTCAACCCGCCGGCTGGTTTTGTGGCTCAGATGTGAACTGTAAACATGTGGCTGTGAATCATGTCTTGAACTTCTTCTGTCGTTTCCTTCAGAGCCTCCAGTCGTCCAGCAGTTGAAGAGGACCTACAAGTACTTCCAGGACTACAGACAGGTGAGCTCGGTCACGTCCCCCCAACAGAGGAAACCTTTACTTATTGTGTTTTAAACGATCTAACAGATTATGTGTAGCAGCTCATAGTAACTGAGGTGATGGACAGTAGTTATGAATGACAGCGACAGCGTTTTCTAAAACCAATGAATTGTTGAATGAACAGATTTTATTTCCGCCTGCAGAAGTTCCTTAAAACTCTAATTATAGCCTTCATGTGAGCGTATTCCCGTCGATGAAGCTTAAATGTGACTTTGTCTTACTTTCACTTTCACTCTTAGCAGAAAAGCTGATTAACGAGAAACCAATTTTCTTTCGCGCAGTTCGCAGAATTAACAAAAGCTCGGCGGGTTTCAGCCTGCAGGCTGCGGGTTTCGGGTTTTCCTGCGGTGGTGCAACACTTTCAGTCGTTATTCAGTATTCTAAACACACGTGGGTGGATTCCTTCTTCCTGTTCGGGGTTTTCAGAGCAGCAGCAGCAGTTCGGCTCCTGTCAAAGGAAAAGGAATCCGTCCGTCTGCAGTTTCTTCTTCTTGGGTGACATTAGGTGTAGCGAGCGCCGGGTTTTCCGAGCTTCCAGGAACGCCGTCCTCTGATTCTGGAGGATTTCTGACTCACGGGTTTTGCTCTTCCCGTCAGATGATAATCGAGCCGACGAGCCCGAAGCTGCTGCCCGACCCGCTGAAGGAGCCGTACTACCAGCCGCCCTACACGCTGGTGCTGGAGCTCACCGACGTCCTGCTGCACCCGGAGTGGTCGGTACGTCCACAGTAACGCTCCCCGACGTCCACACCAGTCCCTGAAGCACACAGTTAGAGAATGTGAGGCTTGCTGTTAAAGTTAAGCTTCGTCATTCAGGTTTCGCTGTAATATCAGTTACAGGTTTGTCGAAACGTGCCGAGGCTGCTGCAGAAGGTACCTCTGCAGTGTTTGGCTTCTTACACGTGGGTTGGCCCCAAACTAACTAAAACCATGTCAAAGTGGGGAAAGAAATCAGGAAAGAGGCTCAAAATGAGTCAAAACAAACAGCAAGAGGGACAGATGTTAAAAAATGAATGGAAAATGCATTAAAAGACGCGTAAAATGACCAGAAAGTGATGCAAAAGAGACACAACATGAACGCAAACCGATGAAACGACCACAAAGACATTAGGAAAGAAACAAAGAAATTATTCAAAACAAACACCGAGAGACATGTATTTAATTTTTAAAAAACAAAAAAGCAGTGACATAATGTTTAAAAAGACCTTTAAAAGGATTAAAATGCTGAAAATTATTAGTTAGTTTAAAAACAGTGGAACAAAAATATAAATTTATAATATTTTTATGAGGAAGTTTTTGTCTTTAAGGTCCTGATATTTGTTGTTTTTAAAACCTGACACACAAATAATAATAATAATAATAATAATAATAATAATAATAAAAATAATAATAATAATAGTAATATTAATAACAATAATAATAATATTAATAACACATCTGCTTTAATGTTGTCACTAATCACTGATAGATCCCAGAATGTTATAATCAATAAAATGTCCTCATCACTTATTAAATGGAAAATAATTGATTTTTTATTAGTTTTTTCTCTCACAGAAACACAATCATGAGAATAAACTAACATCCTGAAAATAAATTTGGTCTCTACGATCAGGATTAAACATCAAACTCTGTAATAATGTTGATTTATGTAATAATTTAAGGCAGTTTTTAATGCACGTTTCTGTCTTTAAGCTCCTGGATGTGAGTCTTTTGTTGTTTTTTTAATCTAAAGATGCACAAATTATTATATTATATGTAATATTATATTTATTATTTAAGAAACAACAACATATAGTGATGAAAATATCGGCATTTAAATGGTTGAAATCCTAAAAATGATTGAATAATTGATGGGTGTTGTCAGAAATACTGCTGGTTAATAAAGTTTTCTTTTTGTTTTTATTATTATTATTATTTTATTTTAGTCGTTAAGGTCTTTAGTCTAACTCTTTTTTTCCGACACCTGAAGGTTAAAACACGACTTGGGTCATAAAAACATCAGATAAATGCAGTTTTGTGAGTTTTAAATGTGATGATCCAGTTTAATCGACGGGTGATGTAGTGATCCGGAGCATCCAGAACCCGACAGTCTGGTCCAGGAGGCTGCTTCCTGGTTACTTTTCAGAAAACAAACACAAATCTACAGAAATCACGTTTCTCTGATGGTCGCCTCCTTGTTCTCCTGAAACACGTTAACGGGGTTGAAACGGAGCAGAATGACCCTTTAACGGGAGGAAACAGTGTTTATCTGGGCCGCTGGTGGAGGAGGACAGGTGGAGGACAGGTGGAGGTGTGTCCCACCCACCTATACATGCATACATGTACACTGTGGACTCACCTGGCAGGTGTGCAGCCGCCGTAACCCGACACCTGCCGCCTGCTACGGCACACAAACACACCTCCACCTGCCTCGCCTCCTCAGCTGCTGACTCGAACAAACACCAACCGCTTCAACTGGAAGCAGCTGCAGCTCCAGGAGACGTTTAAAGACCTCCGACGTCAGCAGAGCGTGAAGAACACTGACGTCCTGGTCAGGTTCTGCTGATGCTGGAGCCTCAGCAAGACTGGGTTTAGTAGAAACATGGGACCTTCTGGGCCCACAGAACCTCCCTGGTTTGGAAATTCTGCCCTTTTTTCAATCCTCACAGACTAATAAATATGAATTATTGTCATTTTGGACCATTTTAAAACCAGTTTAAAGTGATTTTGGACACATTATGAGTCTTTCTCTGCAAGTTTCAAGTCATTTTGGACAAACCAGAAGTAATTTTTAGCAAAGTTTCCTCGTCTTCAACAGGTTTTTGGTCATTTTGGAAATTTCTTTTCTATTTTTGACAAATTAAATGTAATTATGTAAACAGTGTGACTGCTTTGGAAAGAGTTACCCAGAGCACCTTATGCACAAAAATGTCAGAATATTAAATATTAATGACAGTTAATGCACATTTTTGACTACTTTTGGACAACTTCAAAAACATTTGGGACGCATTTTGAGTCTTTCTTGCAAGTTTCTGGTCATTTTGGACAAATTCTGACTCGTTTTGGATGATTTTTCTCATGCTCTGCAGGTTTTAGGTCATTCTGGACTTCTTTTTTTCTCATTTCAACAAACTGAATGTAGTTTTGGACACAGTAGGACTTCACCATAACCAGAGCTACCAGGAGGACGTGAAGGACAAAAATGTCTGCAGTTAAAAAATACAACAAAAAATTACATATTAATGACAACAAAAAATGTCTAAAATGACATTTTGCACCACTTTTACTACTTTTGAACAAGTTTCAAGTCATTTTGAACAAGTTCTGAGTCTGACAACAAAAAACCAAAACACGTTGAACCTTGGAGGCGTCCTGGGCCTCCTGTGGAGCAGCTCTCAGCTTGTTGTTGTCTGGACCTGAAAGACCAAGTTCACGACCTCCGAGTGTCTGAGAGACGACAACACAGCAGCTACACACAGTTATAACACGAACACACACACTGTTGGCGTCGCACACGACTGATCCAAGCTGCTGCTACCATGAATACAGTTTGTTCACCTTAAAATCAGGAGAGAAAAACATCTTAATTACACAGTTAGTGGCCCAAAGTACGAAGTTAGTGTTTAACTGGACAAGATTCAAGTCATTTTAGACAAATTTTTAGCAGTTTTGGTCACATTTGAAGTTGTTTTAGACAATTTCTGAGTAATTTTAGACCATTTCAAGTCATTTTTGAGTCATTTTCGACAAAATATGAGTCGATTTCAAGTCACGTTTTGCCACTTTTTGCTAATTGTGAACAAGTTTCAAGTCATTTTAGATGACGTTTACAAAATTTGTGCTTAACTTTACTTACGAAGCTTAAAGCAAGAAAAACCACAAGTGTAATAAAAATAAACTGTCAGATAAAAGTGAGCTTTGGGGGTTTAAACTGTAAACACTATAAAATAAAAATTTAATAAAAAATTTGGAAAAATCGGTTAAATAACAGTTAAAAAAATATTTGCTGTTTTTAAATTCTTAATTTAAACATTTTTTTCTTTTAAATAACAGTAAATGTCTCTAAAATAATTATATTTTTGCTGATTTAAATTTAAAACAAATTAATTATCAGCATGTAAATTCTACTTTTCTTGATGATTTTAATAATTATTTTCTGTAATTTAACAAAATTGGAAAAATGTAAAATATCAGTAAACTAGAGTTTAAATCACTGAACGGTGCAGGTGTGTGTTTTATTTAATTTATTTTACTCTGATTCTCAGTTTAAGATGCAGACAAACAAGGTTTGTTTAGTTCCAGATGATTATCTGCCTGATTGATTATCAGCATTATTGATTATTATCATTATTGATCTGCTGCTCCTCGGTTTGCGTCTTCATTTCTTCTCTGAGCTGATCGAAGCCGTTTGTGTTCCAGCTGTCGACGGGTTGGCGCTTCAAGAAGCGTCCGGGCATCGACTACCTGTTCCAGCAGCTGGCGCCGCTCTACGAGATCGTCATCTTCACGGCCGAGACCGGCATGGTGAGGGCGGCTCTTCTACCGACCGATCGATCGATGGACCTGATCGGTTCCATTCACGGCTGTTAGAAACCAAACCGACAGATTTAGGTCTTGTCGACGTATTTTCAGTGTCACGGTGGAAAAAGTTGAAAAAACTTCCAGAATTTTACTGAATTTATGATCAATTAAAGATGGAAACGACTTTATTTTAGGAGTTCTGACGAAGCAGCAGGAAACATGGCCGACACCAGCTGACGTAGAAGAACGACTCTGACTTTCTGAAATGAGAACGATTCCTCAAGACTCATTTATATATATATGTTTTTAGTTTTTCTTCTTCTTTGACATTTTTAGCAGTTGTCATAAAGCTGCTGTACTTCCCAGTTTCTTCTTCTACTCTGTTTATTGCGGCCGACTCTTCCTGATGACACCAGGCGGACGGATCTAGTCGCTCTAAAGCCGTTAATTTAGTTTTTTTGCTTTAAATTTGCTCGTTAATTACATTAAACAGACCTATCCAGCTGGGATTTTGTTGACCTACAGTGACAGAAGTGTTCTCGTTGACATGATTAGAACCTGCTGGACGTTCTGGGGAATATTCTAGAAACAGACACCTGGTCCACAGCTCAACACCTTTAACCTGAGCTGCTGAATTCATGCACAAAGAGCGACTTGTGCCAGATTTCTGCTGCTGACAGTCAGAAAGTGAAGCTTTCTTCACCGCTGCAGCTCAAACATGTCCCTGTAGATTGATGCTTTCATGTTTGGTCTGACGTGTGAAGATGCCAGAAGTCTGTGGTGAGGTTGAGCTGTGCAGACCTGACGCCTTCTGTGTTTGTCCCAGACGGCGTATCCTCTGATCGACAGCATCGACCCTCAGGGCTTCGTCATGTACCGGCTCTTCAGAGACGCCACGCGCTACATGGAGGGCCATCACGTCAAGGTAGGAACTGCTCGGCAACACGCAGGCAACACGTTGCTCACAGACGTGAAGCTGCTGAGACACCTGCACAGGTTGCTGCTCTGGTTTAAAGCAGATCTTCTGATGAAGAGTCGTTTGTTTTAGTTTGAAGCTGGTTGCAGACGTTGGCAGCAGAAGGAAAGTTGCTGAAACATCTGCACTGATGCTTCAGCAACTTCAGCTCTGCAGCCAACTTCTACGAGCAACTTTACCTGAAATAATCAACTTTTTCTGTCTGAAAGTCTCGATTGAAAGACGGATTTAAAGCAGATTTTCTGACAGAAGATGAATTTATTTTGGGTTTAAATTGCTTGCAGCAGAAGTGAAGTTGCTGACACACCTGTACACGTTGCCGCTCGGTGTTTTAAAGCAGATTTTCTGACAAAAGAGCCATTTATTTGAGTTTAAAGATGCTTGAGGACGTTGGCTCTGTCTGAAAAACCTGCGCTTGTGCTTCAGCAACTTTAGTTCTGCAGCCAACGTCTGCAAGCAACTTTTAACTGAAACGATTGACTCTTTTGTAATTAAATCTAGTTTAAAACACAGATATAAGGTATATTTTCTGACAGAAGAATCATTTATTGTGGTTTTAAAGTTGCAGTTCTGTGTTTTAAAGTTGATTTTTCTGACAGAAGACTCATTTATTTAGGTTTTAAGGTCTATTTTCTGACAGAAGGGTCTATTATTTCAGCTTTAGAGTAGATTTTCTGACAGTTCAGTCATTTATTTTACTTTGAAGTTGCTTGCAGCAGAAGTAAAGTTGCAGAAACACCTGTGCTCATTGCCTCTTGGTGTTTTGAAGTTGATTTTTTTTTATTGCAGAGTCATTTATTTCAGCTCTAAAGTTGATTTTCTGACCATTCAGCCATTTGTTTTACTTTAAAGCTGCAGAAACACCTGTCCAAAGTTGCAGTTCTGTGTTTTAAAGTAGATTTTCTGAAAGTTTAGTCATTTATTTTACTTTAAAGTAAAGTTGCTGAACCACCTGTAGAAGTTGCCTCTGTCTCTATGTTTTACCCCCTGTGTTTGCCTGCATGGACGCCTTCTGCTGCAGCATTGATTTCTCCTCGTGGCCACAATAGACCTCCTCCCTCCTCCCTCCTCCTCCCTCCGTCTCCCCCTCAGGCCTCATTAACCTCCTGCCTCCCCTCTTCCTCTTATCTCACCCCGGCCTTCCTTCCTTGCTTCCTTCCTCCCTCCCTCCAACCGCCGTCCCTCGGTGTTTTGGCCCGAGGAGCTGGTTAACCTACTTTCGCCCGGAGCGAGGAGACACTCGCTCGGCTCATCTCCATAAAGCCAAGACAGAGCCGAGCGCAACAGATGCCCGGAGAGAGTTATTAATGCTCCATATGCCGAGGGAGAGTTAATGTCCGGAGAAAGTTATTAAAATCCCTGCGTCAAATTAAAACTGTGCATTTTCAGCCGCGCGAGGATTATGATGCAAATGCAGGCAAACGTGCAGTTAAACGCAGCGTGAAGCTAAAAACCGGGAGCAGGGATTGGCTAATATAAGATTATTGGATTTATGTCTGTACTTATTGAGATTATTTAGCAAAATAAAGGATATTAGATTAAAAAAACAGCTTAAGATTGAAAAAAAATGAAGGAAATAAATAACTAATAAATAATATAAAAATAAAAGTAAAAAAATAAATATTGTGTAAGGAGGTTAAAAATTAAAAATCCCCAAGATTGAGTACGGCGGTGGCAGCGTCATGATGAAGCACGGTGGTGGCAGCATGATGATGAAGCACGGTGGTGGCAGCATG